CCCCCTTTTCCAAGTGTTTAGGTACCAGCCCCCTCATTTTCCAGCCAGGAAGAGGGGGGTTACTTGCCCCTCGCATTGCTTTTGCCCTCCTGTCGCCGCACCCGGTACAAACCGACCACACTCCTCAGATCCGTTGCCAGACACTCCGGGCCAAGTCGGGGAATTCTGCTCCCCCCCAAGTTGGTCAAAAAGGGGGTGGTGTCATCGAAAAACCTGCCCCTAGGGGGGGTCCAGAAGTGGCACCTCGGTTTATTTGGCCCCTTCCCCACATAAGAGTGATTAGCCCAAACTTGTCCGGCTCCAACTGTAATTCCCTGGGGTGACCCCCCTTTCCCCGTGTCTAAGATTAACCCCTCCATGGAGTCCGCTGGTCCCTGGCGCCCTTTTCCTCCCCCTCCACCTCGTCGATGGTGGTCTGGTTTCCCCTCCCCCGCCTGCTTTGGTCCAGAGGAGGGTGGGGGCTCCCGTACCCCCATGACTGGGAGGGCTTGGGTGAGGAAAGGACCCGGGGGCCGCTGCATTGTGGAAGGGGTCTCATCACCGCTTTCCCCCAACGGCATCCGATCAACCTGCATCCCTGGGGGGCCCCCCCAGAGGGGGCCCTAACCGTCCCGCCCGCTCGGCTTCCCCGGGCCTTGCCTGTCCCGTTCGGGCCTGTCCCATTCCCCACCGGCCCTCCGCTTCCCCGAGGATGAGGCGTTCACTCGGGCCGTTTGGAGGGTTCTAGCCCTCCTCCCGGGTCCCCCTCCCCCCGCCCGGCGTGGTTTTTTTCTTGGGATTTTTGGGGCCGTCCCTTGGGGGGGGGGGTTTTGTCTGAGCCTCCCTCCACCGGGTTCCACCCTTTAAATTTTTTTTCCACTTGCTCACCACTCTCCTACTAAACCTAATAAATACCGCCCCCGCTTGCTTGCTTAATTATCTGCCGTGCGCTGCATTACCCACACCCCCTCCCAGTATTTTGGCCCCTTTTTCAGCTCTCCCCGGGGTCAACGTCTGCAAAGCTCAAACCCCCGGGAAACCCGTTTGTCGCCTTTTGGCTCACCCGGTTTTTTGACCCCCCGGGCCTCCCGATTTTTGGATCTCTTTGCCCAGGAATCCGCCTGCTTTGCCATAACGGACTCCTGATATCTTAACCCGGGAAATCGACCACCCTTTCTTGCTATTTCTATTTTGGTTCCCTTTAACTGTATGTGCCTTGTTTTCATTCCCCCCTGTTTTTCTGGTCCCCCCCCAGGACTTCTGGACCCCCCACCCCGGGTTCATAGGACCATCCTGCCCCCTGGGGGGGGCCAGACCCCGCCCTTGGACGGGACCCTGTTACCCCTGGACTTTATTCACTCCTATTCCCTTTTCCCTTAAAATTTTTAAAAACTTTCTGGTGTGACGCAATTGTGGGGCCTCTGGTCGTTCTGAACCCTGACGTTTCTTAGAAGCTTACCGGGAGTCCCCAAAACCCCTGTAAATGTTTCATTAAAGCTTACCGGTAGTCCCCCCGTCACCTGTCCAATTTTTATTTTTGAAGTTCCCGGGGATCCCCAGTCACCGTCACAATGGTTTTTTTATGAAGCAAAGGTAGTCCCCGTACCCCTTAGCAGTTCAGCAGCTAGCATCATGTGCCAAGCATGCAAATGGCCAGCAGCATAGCAGCTGTGCCCCAGTGCCAAAGATAGAGCATGTGCCAACGCTAGCAGCATGTGCCCGCACTGCCACCCTGCCCTCCCAATGCTGGGTTGCCTCTGAAACTAAGCTGGGTTGGCCTGGCGGTCCCTGGATGGGAGACCAGAGCTGCGGAGTGGGTTGGGGGGCCAGTGGAGGCACTCTTTTCCCTTTGGGCTAAAAAATAATAAACCCCAAAAACCCCCGGGCAGTGATTGGGGACATTGCCCCCATGTAGGGTGCCGTCTTGGATGGGTGTTAAAAGGTGTCCTGACTTTGTGGTCACTAAGATCCATGGCATTTATTGTAAGAGTAGGGGTGTTAACCCCGGTGTCCTGGCTAGGTGTTAACCCCGGTGTCCTGGCTAGGTGTTAACCCCGGTGTCCTGGCTAAATTCCCCATCTGGCCATCATGGCCAACCTAATCAACCCCAGCTCCAATTGGCTCATTAATCCCCCTCCTCTCCCCTGTAGTGGTCCTCTGTAGCTCAGCTGGTAGAGCACGGCGCTTTGTAACGCTAAGGTAGTGGGTTCGATCCCCGGGACCACCCATTGTCACGAACGTCTAGCAGCGAAGTAGACCAAGGCGCAGCGTGTGAGAGAAACATGACTTTATTAAATTAAAGCCAACACGAAAACAACAAAACAAATGACGATACGTGAAGTCCCCAGTCACACTGTACCCTGAACACGGAACAAAAACCCACAACCACAAGGTGAAAACACACAGTTTAAATATGGCTCCCAATCAGAGATAACGAGCCGACAGCTGACACTCGTTACCTCGATTGGGAGTCAATGACCAAACAAGGAAAACATAACCAAATAGACAACCAACCAAAACAGAACACAACGAAACGAACACACCCTGGCTCAACATACAAAGTCCCGGAGCCAGAGCGTGACACCCATACACAAAAAAAAAAAAAAATGTATGCACGCATGACTGTAAGTCGCTTTGGATAAAAGCGTCTGCTAAATGGCATATTATATTATATTATTATATTATATTATATATTATATATTATTATATATCTATTCCCAGTCGTTGCTGTAAATGAGAATGTGTTCTCAGTCAACTTACCTTGTAAAATAAAATCTAATTACAGTATAGAATTCACAACTAAATGTTTGCCAACTAGATATCTAATAACTATTAATTTAACGGTCTAAAATGAAGGGTTCCAGTTTAGGGAAATCTTAACGCTACAGCATACAATGACATTCTAGACGGTTCTGTGCTTCCAACTTTGTGGCAACAGTTTGGGGAAGGCCTTTTCCTGTTTCAGCATGACCAATGCCCCCGTGCACAAGCGAGGTCCATACAGAAATGGTTTGTTGAGATCGATGTGGAAGAACTTGACTGGCCTGCACAGAGCCCTGACCTCAACCCCATTGAACACCTTTGGGATGAATTGGAACGCCGATGCGAGTCAGGCCTAATCGTCCAACATCAGTGCCCGACCTCACTAATACTCTTGTGGCTGAATGGAAGCAAGTCCCTGCAGCAATGTTCACAACATCTAATGGAAAGCCTTCCAGAAGAGTGGAGGCTGTTATAGCAGAAAAGGGGAACCAACTCCATATAAATGCCCATGATTTTGGAATGAGATGTTCGACAAGCAGGTGTCCACATACTTTGGTCAATGTAGTGTAAGTGGTTAGCTTCCTCCAAAACCAAGCATTCACTTGGCAACAGTAGAGAATTCCTCCTGGATCAAGAGCCTTGCTGTCTAATATTTGTTTGTGCGTGCAGAAAACTGAGAGTAGCATTTTTAGTGTACTAGTATAGTTAGATACTGAGACTGTAAAATGTTCGCAAAGCGCTCGTTAGCATTTAGTTAGCGTTCTCTATGGGATTTGTAATATACTTGTACATTGCTAACCATCGGATTACTGAGTATCAGTGGGGTTTTAAAAACAGCACCCTTGTGTTCAGTGCCGGTATTACCAAATAACCTGTGTGGCACAAGGTAGGTATGAAAATCTGGATGTGTATTGCCCATCAACTGGACGGGTTGTAAACCAAAACAAGGTAAAAAGAAAATCCATGTGATAGGGAAACTTAATCCACCCAAATAAAAATAGTACATTGACAAAACAAAACTCCCACTTCTTCCTTCTTTCTAATCTCAACATGGGGGTCTCTGTAGCTCAGCTGGTAGAGCATGGCGCTTGGAACGCCAGGGTAGTGGGTTCGATCCCCGGGACCACCCATACGTAAAAATGTATGCCACCATGACTGTAAGTCGCTTTGGATAAAAGCGTCTGCTAAATGGCAATATATTATTATTATTATCTCCCTTCTCAGGCTCTATGGCCTGGTACGGTTGTTGCTTCCCTACACACTCCGTTTGCGTCCTCTTATTGGTCTAAAATGGAGAACTCTGCCCATTCAGCGAGCAGATGGTGGGTGGCATTGACCAATCAGGAGTCAATCGTGATTCGGTGGGGGTGCGGTTCAACGTGGTTTTTATATGGTCTGGTAATCTGGTTTCTAACGTTATAATTTGTTAGCAGAATAACATTTGTGAAAATAGTCGACACTTTATTTTCCCTATCCATATTACCATAAAATATTCAACCCAAAAGATGTCGTGACTCATGAGTCATGTTACACAATGCAGAATTGCAGGAAATTAGCTTCAAAACAACAAACATTTCCTAAAACCAAGTTTTGATGGTATATTTAACATATCTCAATGAACAATATTTAAAATAGGCCTAAATGCAGGCTCCGGTCAGCATTTTGGCTCCAACCTATACTAAGCCACATTTCCCCACACATCTGTTTTAAATTAGGTCTTTCACAATAGCTAATGTAAGTCAGTGGACCAATTCTCATTCCCGACAATGGGCTCAAATATGGGGTATTTAGTTTGCTTGTTGTCAGCAAGAACATTACTGTTATTCTCCATGCTTCTTATATCATTCCATTCTTCCCCATTGCCAGGGCAACTAACCGCTTTTTGTAGTCTGATATGCCTAGTTGTTTTTCATTTAATTTATTGTAAAACAATTCAAAATATATAATATAGAAAAAAAAACAACAGAAAAG